TTCAGCTGGCTTACTACTACGAACATACGTTTTTGCATAAAATGCAAATGCGAAAGCGCATATTGGCGAAAAGCTGTGTGTGTTCCATGTGTGTTCGCACATTCTGTCACCCACTTTCAACCACAGAACCAATAAAGCTAGAATGCTGAAATTTCGGGAGTATGTGCTCTTGCCATGTGGAGCTCTCCCGTTTTTATGCGTTTTTGCACATATGCAAATTGCAAGAACGCATACTGCAACAACCCAGCCCGTCTGTGTGCTCGTCCATCCGAGTATTTCAACTCGGCAACGAAGCACGCTCCAGCGCCAAAATTTAGCCAGTTGGTTCCTCGGCCAAATGCCACCCCAGGACTGCGGTTCCAACCTTTACAAACGTCCGCACCCTGCGTGCAAGCGCGTGAAATCTTTTGCGGGAAAACCGCTAATTCGGAACAAAAAGCTGTAAGGCTGGAATTTTGAAGGAATGTTCCTTATTCATGTGCGACTAAAAGATTTCAAATTCAACTCTTCTAGTAGGATCTTTTCCGCGAATGTGCAACCTTCCACTTGTCGGGTCTCTAAAGCCAGCATTTACAACTGACATGCCACGTAGCTGCACAGTTAACTTCCTGAACTTCAAGGGCAGGTATACCGCAAATCCTAGTCACATATTCCTTGTGACTTGCTATAAGACGAAATAGTGCAAAAACGCATGATCACAGCGGCTCACCTGGTGCGTTCGGCCTGGGTTCCCATTGCTTTTATGAGTTTTTGCACCTAAACAAGTGCAAAAATGCATACTGTGACGACCCAAGGTGTGTATGCGTCTGTCCTGGTAGTTCAATTCGGTAACCAATCATTAGTGCTGGAATTTTGCCAGTGGATTTCCCGATCAAGTGCCACCCTAGGATCGCGATATCAACTTCCACGCGCGTCTGAGCTCGCGTACGAACACATGAAAATATTGGTGGGAAAACTATTTCGGAAACCAGAAAAGCTGAGAAGCTGAAGCTTCAACAGTATGTTTCCCTCCCCAATACGATTTAAAAATTCAAATTCAATCTCCAGATAAGCCTAGTATTCGCATGGGGAGAAGAGAAAGTTTTGCATGAAAATTACTAATTTGGTAACTAAAATCTGAAAAAGCTGGGAGGCTGAAGTTTGAAAAAGATGTCCCCCGTCCAAGCAGAAGTTAAAGATTTCAAATCCAACCCCCTGGTGTAAGTGGTTCTGACATACGGGCACCTGAAGGTTTTAGCGGAAAAATTGGTCACTGAACAACTAGGTTTTAAAGAACGACAGTTCGAAGGAAAAAGTTCATTTTCTCTTACACAAAACATGATTTATGCTAGTGAGTACACAAGGTAAATTTAACAATCACAGAAAAAATGGTCCAACTGCTTCAAGTTTACTCAAAACGCATGATCGCACCGGCAAACCTGGTGCGTCCCGGCCTAGGGTTGTCACCTTTTTATGCGTTTTTTGCATCTATGCAATGCCAAAACGCATAATGTCGACGGGCTGTCTATTTGTTCGTCTGTACGGATTTTTCATCTCGTGACCTACAAAAGCTAAAAGGCTGAAACTTTGGAGACTTAATCTACATGCACATACGGGCCCCGTCCCCAAAATAAACGCTCTTACCCACTTGGTTTCTACATACAGGCCGTCAAAGTTTTTTGCGGGTAAGTTACTAATTTGGGAACCTCAAAAGCTAAAAGGCTGTAATTTTAAGGGGATGTTCCCCGACAACGTAGGTCTCAGTGAGTTCAAACTCGGCTCCCGGAGTTTGAACTCATTATGCTTAGTTCCCATGTACGTACTCGTGAAAATTTCCTGCAAGTGAGTTGCCAACTCAGGAAACTGAAAAGCTAAAAAGCTCGAATTTCAAGGGGATGTTCATCCATGTAAAATTTAATGACTTCAAATATAGTCTGCGGTGTGCGCGGTTCATCCCGTGAAAATTTTCCCAGCATAAACTGCTAATTCGGGAACCTGAAAAGCTAGAAGGCTACAATTTTTAAGGGATCTAAGTCCAGCCTGGAGATGTGTGTGGTCCCCCGTGCGAGCCCGTAAAAACTTTTGGTGAGTAAGTTGCTAACTCGGAAATCAGAAAAGCTAGAAAGCTGAAAATTTGAGGGGATGTTCCCCAGTCCACACAGAACTTAGTGACTTCAAGCTTTGCTCCCAGTTGCGCGTGGTTCTCACGTACCGTCCACTAAAAATCTTCAGCGGGTAAGTTGCTAGTTCGGGAATTAATAAGGCTAGAAAGCTAAATTTTAACGGGATGCTTCCTGACAATCCTGGCGTCCAGCCTCAATTTATTTAGCTTGAAGCACCTGTCGGAAAAAGCAATGCCATTAACAACAAAAACTTATGAGGGATTATGCAGAAAACGCATCTCCGCACCGGCAGTCGGCGCGCTGGCCAATTATTATGCGTTTTTTGCAGTTATGCAATGCGGACAACGCATACTGACGAGAGGTTGTCTGTGTGTGTGTCTCTGTGTGTGCAGGGCCTATGTACCGATTTTTATGCGTTTTTGCTGTGCAGCGCTAGAGAAAAAAACGCATATTGCAACGACCCTGTCAGAGTGTGTGTGTGTGTGTGTGTGTGTGTGCGTGTGTCCGCCTGTGCGGGTGTTTCAACGCGCCAGCCAACGCAAGCTTTGAAGCTGAAATTTTGCCACTGTGTTCCCCAGCCAAGTACCACCCAGGACCGCGGTATCAATTCTCACGCACATCTGTGCCTCGCGCACGAGTACGGGAGAGTTTTGGCGCGGAAACTGCCAACTCGGGAACGAGAAAAGCTAGAAAGCTGAAACCTTGGGGAATGTTCCCTACCTGTCTATGACAAAAAGATTTCAAATTCAGCTGCCCAGGAGTACCTGGAGTTTACGTACGGGCACGTGAAAATTATGGCGGTAAAATTCATAACTCGAGGACAAGGAAAGCTAGAAAGTTAAAACTTTGGGGGGATATTCCCTACTCATCCACGACCAAAAGCTTTCAAACTCTGCTTCTTAGGACCGCCCTGGGCTCACGTACGGGCGCTTGAAAATTTTTGGCGCGAAAATTACTAGCCCGGGAACGGGGAAAGCTAGAAGGCTGTAACTTTTGCGGAATGTTTCCTACTCATGTACGAGCAAATCAGGTGTTTAGAATCGTCCGAGCCCACGTACGGTCGCGTGGAAATTTTGGCGCGAAAATTACTAACCCGGGAACGGGAAAAGCTAGGAAGCTGAAACTTTATAGTAATGTTCCCTTCTCATGTATGACCAAAAGATCTTAAATTCAGCGCCTTAAAACCGTTTAGTACTCACGTACGGACACGCAAAAATTTCGAAGCGAAAAATGTTAACTCGGGAGCTGGAAAAGCTGAAGGCTTTAATTTCAAGGAAATGTTCCCTACTCATGTGCAACTAAAAGATTTTAAATTTAACTCTTCCAGTGTGGCCTTTTTTGCGGATCAGCAACTTTCCATTTGTCGGGTCACTGAAGTCGACATCTACAACTGATATACCACATAGCTGCGTAATTAACTTCCCGAACTTTGAGGGCCAGCATGTCACAGGGTTAGCTACTTTGATTCCTTGCGATCTTGCTGCATCACAAAAAATGCAAAAACGTATAATCGCACCGGCCCGCCTGGCGCGTTCCGGCCTGGATTCATCTCGAGACCAACAAAAGCTACAGAGCTTAAACTCTGGGGACTTGATCTTGAGGCACGTGCAGACCCCCACCCCCAAGATGGGCGGTCCAACTCACGTGGTACCCACGTAAGAGCGCGCTAAAGTTTTACGGGTAAGCTGTTAACTCGCGAACCAAAAAGGCTAGAAAGCTGGAATTTAAAGGGATGTTCCCCGTCCAAGTAGGTATTAATGAGTTCAAAACCAGCCCTCGGGTAAGCGTGGTATCCGCGTACGGGCTCACCAAAATTTTTTTCGGGTAAGTTCATAACTCGGGGATCTGAGAAGCTAGAAAGCTGAAATCTTAGAGGGATGTTCCTCGTTCAAGTGGGTATTAATTAGCTCATACCCAGCCCCCCGGTAGGCGTAGTACCCGCATACTAGCCCACCAAAGTTTTTTTCAGGTAAGTCGCTAACTTGGGCATCTGAGAAGCTAGAAGATTGAAATTTTGAAGGGATGTTTTCTGACAGTCCTGGCGGCCAGTGTGAAATTCTTTTAGCCAGAAGCATCTGCCGAAAAAACCAGTGCCATTAGCAACAAAAATCTGCGGGGAGCTATGCAAAAAACGCATCTTCGCACGGGCAGCCTGTGCATTGGCCAATTATTTTTAAATGATTTTAATAATTTTGTAAAACCGCAACCAGACTGAGATTTTATGATTATGGCCCATGACCGGTTTGGGTAAGTACAAACGACAACAGCTTTTCCGACTCCCCCATCACCGTACAGTGCAATCTGGCATTAGCAATTTCTGTATGGTACATTAACACCGTCAAAATAAAAGTATAGATAACGAATTCAAATGCACTTTTGCATTCGCTTAGCCAGAAGTATCTGCCCAAAAAGGTACTAATTAGCAAAAATCATTTGCAGAGAAAGTAAAAAACACGTGTAAAAGAACATTTCCAAACTTTCAAATCTTTTTTTCCTTCAAAGTTTGTTCCAATACTGCTTCAGAAATGCTTCTTCGCATTCGTGATGCATAAAAAACCGAGCAAGCTGCCAAACCGCTTCTTAATAAAACGCTGCTGTTTCGCCTGTCGTTTTCGCTAAAGACAAATTAAATTTGGGGAAAAAATTTTCACTAAAGAAATGAGGAATGCCGAAGCTAAGCTCCAGATATTCCTAAGATCTGACCATACAGCCAAAGCGTAGCCGTGCTGACAAAGATACAACATCGATGATCCAAGCAAACTTTACAATATGAAGTAAAAAATCTCTATATCAGCAAATTTTTGAGGAAGCTAGCACACTAACGTGTTTCCTGCGCAGCAGAAATGCTCAACATCAGCATTACCCAACTCCCAGTCCTCAAGAAATCATAAGCTGCGCATGCTAAGGGATCTTTCACGACACAATATAAACCAGAAAACAAAAAATCAACCTAAGCCTGCTGCTGTGCAGTTTGTTGTAGTTCTCTCCGGTACTGCCGACGATGCTGCTGTTTCCATCGTTACAGATGCTGCTGCCATTGCTGCTGCTGCTACTGCCGCTGCTGCTGCTGCTGTAGTTGCTACGGTTGCTGCTATCGCTGCTGCCATTGGCGGTGATCACGAAGATTCTGTTGATGCTGCTGGTGATGCGGATGATGCTGAAAAAGAATCCGCTGCTCAGTAAGAATAAGCAAAAAATGAATCATACTATTCGATGGAACATTCACTTAGCAATGTGCACAAATTAAAAGTTTCACGTGAAAACCCATATAAATACTTCAGGCTCAGAGCAATCCAAATCGGAAATGCTACCAACTGCTGCGCCCGCGACGGGAATGAGTACAGATTTGAACCGGTCGCTACCAAAAACTGTGTTTGTAAACTAAATTTGCTTTTATACAACCACTAAAGGGATGAGTCACTGACAATTCTTGTCAGCGAGTGATTGGCACTGAGACCAGCTACTCTCAAGTATCTCCGTCTCTTGCAAGGTTTAAATACTTGGGGAGGGGGGGG